ACGTGTCTGTGTATATATATGTGTACGTGTCTGTGTATATACATGTGTACGTGTCTGTGTATATACATGTGTACGTGTCTGTGTATATACATGTGTACGTGTCTGTGTATATACATGTGTACGTGTCTGTGTATATACATGTGTACGTGTCTGTGTATATACATGTGTACGTGTCTGTGTATATACATGTGTACGTGTCTGTGTATATATCTGTATGCTTGTCTGTATATCTATTATCTGCGTGCATGCCTGTGTATCTATTATCTGCGTGCATGCCTGTTTTTCTGTTATCTGTATGTGCGTGCATGTGCGTGCGTGTGTGTGTGTGCGTGCGTGTGTGTGTGTGTGCGTGTGTGTGTGCGGCGTGTATGTGTGCGTGCGTGGCACATATATATATATATATATATACACAGCACCCACACAGCACACCACACATGCGCGCGCACACATCCACAGATACACACATATACACAGATACACAAACACTCTCAGATACACACCCTGACACATACAACAGAGACACACCCACACTCACAGATGCTCACACCCTCATAGACACTCACAAACGCACACCCACAGACAACTAGACACAAACACCTACTCGAAGATAAGCACACTCATAAACTCAGTTAGGCACAAACGGAAACAGAAAAACTCAGGGACACATGCACTCAGGCACAAACTCGAATATATACATGCAGACTTGGGTACACACAGGGGCACACACTCGGACATATACACACACATTGGGGCACACATACACACTCACACCTAAAGAATCGGGCCCATACACACTCAGGCACACACACACACACACACATGTACATAAACAAACAGTTCTTTAAATTGATACACACCTGCTCACTTGGTAAAGGCTGTCCATCATACATCCATCAAACTGCCCCGCCTTCTCGGTTTCTTTCTTTCCTTTGTGGCTGACTGACAGCTATGCTCCGTTCCTACTGACGTCACCATCTCTCTGACGCGCATAAACGGATTCGACGTAGGTGATGGCAGCCACCGCAACGACGGGTTGGATGTCGTCGGGGTGACATCACCGTCACCATTATCACGAACCGTCGTGCGTTTGATTACGCCGCCTTTAGAGGTCTGTTCTTCTATACGGATGACAAACAGTAGACTTCCCGGCTGTATTTGGCAATTCTGTAGCGTCTCGCTGCTAACAAAATAAATTGATCAAAGAGCTATCTGAATGTACGTATGGCTTTCGCTATTGTTGGTAACGTATTTTGCTCATAGAAACGTACTCTATGCCAGTGCGATATAACTGCATTTGGCTGTTTGGCTTTTCATCGACGTGATGATAATCTGACGCGGTCGTCCACCGAGAAGTTCTGGAGCGTTTGTCGTCTCCGCCTCTTTCCTATCATGTTCTAGCGGTATTCCTTAGAACATCTATATCGTCTCTTAGGGACTCTAAGCATTATGTAGCACTATAGAGAGAGATCGAGTGTGAATCTTAAGAAGCATCATACTCTCGATTAATGTGCGACAAGTATTATGTTCTTCACTCATTGACTACGTCGACTTGCGCCGAATTGAACAGAGAAACTGGCCATTAGCATTTTATAATTGACTTAATCTCGGTTACGTACATTTTTCTTTGCTGTTGGCTTCCAGGGTTCATAGTTCGTGTATTGTCAATGTAACATCTGAATATATATATATATATATATATATATATATAATGTACATATCTATATATTTTACTTGAAAGTTAAGAGACCAGTTTCATGTTAAATTCCTAGAGAAAGAGCCCCCTTTGTTTCTATGTTATTGTGTATTTAAAAACGTTACGACGGTCCAAAGATTCTGCGGTTCACTTGTTTAATAGACGACCTATTTAATTTTCGGAGCACAGATCCCAGTGCGCGCACAGCAAATGTCGTGATTAAAAAAAATCAACACGGCACGACATGCAACAGAACGGATCGCCTTGCATAAAACTATATTTATTATTGGTAAAATATGGCCCAACACTCATTTTTTACAAGAATTGTTTCGCTCAGGTTCAGCTTGAAAATTTAACTTCACACTCAGTTGCAGGAGATTTAAACAGTCGTACAGGGTAGCCTATACTATCGTCATTTAAATGTCATTTAAATTGACAACAGTAAACTTATAATTAACAATAATAACAGCGTTAGTAACACTAACATTAAATCATCAGGCTCAATTAAAATCGCCTGTTCTGGCTTTCGAACATATGTCCTGAACAGTAGTCTGATTACTAAAATGAAAAACAGTTAAAAAAACTCAAATAAACGATATATTATACACTTAATGCTTATTATACATTTAAGATATACTATGTATGAGGCATCGTGGATCATATCTTACTTTTAACAACCATAGAAAAGCGTATTACCGTGAGCGTTCCAAGAGGAACAACAAAGGAGTTTATAGCCTATAAAATGTATTTCTATATTAGATTATATTAAGCGAAATGTATGTGCGTTATGTTTATAGGAGCTCATCTTGGAATGACTAACTTGCTAAAATCGGATGAACTCAAGCGGAGTTAGGTGCCAATTCTCCCCAATGAAACACTTTTTATAGCTCACGAACTCTGCCTATTTTGTCGCTTTTATTTGAACTTACGTAAGACACAGGATGGGAACATATATTTATATCAATAAAATATTGAATTTGTTGTATACAGCTATCTATTATATAAGCACGTGTACCTGACGAATTTTCTTTTTCTATTTTGTCGTATTTCCTCTGTTATATGCGCTACCTAATCACTATAAATATGTCAACGCTGCTTATGCAGTTAAGGTGTGCGACAAAGCGCATATACTCAAAGAGAAAAAGCAAAATGCAGCCCACCGGGAAAAACATATACTTTCAGAACTATGTCGCAGACCTCATCCGCTCGTCATCGGACTTCACTGCACTTTTCACGATGAAGCCCGGCTCTACTTCGTTGTTACATACGCCAAAAATGGTTCGTGCTATCCAGTGTGTTCATTCCATATCATGTGGCCACTCAACTGTTTTGATCGATCAAATGATAAAAATAATAGTAGTCAACCTGGGGCCTCTAACTTTAGCCAGGGAAGTGCAAATCATTATCACAGCCTTCATTTTCTCAAATCAGTTTCATAGAGTCTGAAGTAGTAGACTGTCGTGATAGATGTTTTTATCGTCAAGTATAGATTATCCACCCGCCGAAGTTATAAAGGTGTTTATGATAGATAGGTAGGGCTTCAACAGTCATTGTTAACGTGGAAAGAATGGATCCGCTAATTTTCAGGCGATTTGCTCAAACACATCCATAAGGTCGGTAACTTCAACGCTGAGTGCACTCGCTTCTACTCGGGTGAGCTCATGGCAGCTTTACGGTATTTGCACCGTGCTGGCGTAGTGCATCGCGACATAAAACCTGAAAATGTGCTTATGTCTGAACGAATGCACGTTCTGGTAGCAGATTTTGGCAGTGCACAGATCCTTCCATTGGACACCCCGGCCGAAAATGATCAACCTTCTCATGAAGGTTCGGTTCCCACTACAGATACGGATGCAGAAACATCAACAGCCGCAGCAAGTTCCCCAACGAAAAAGGTGAACAAAAAAATAGAAACAGGAATTGCTGCAATCAGGCGTTTTCTGTTATCTTTACCGAGTATCCTTATAAAACTGTCCCGGATGAAGAAAACTTTCAGATTAGACTGCCACAACCTAAAGCTTTAGAGGTAGACGGAACAATGGGAAACTTGCTGCCGAGTTTAAGAAGAGCTGTCTTATATTACCAATGTATCGACAACGAGTCTACTAGTTTCTCCGTGAAGAGCACGAATATTATAGCGCATGCCTCACTTTGTCAGCCTTTTTCAGCAGAGATAGTTTACTAAGCCGGATTATGTCCACATTGTTGATAGCTCTGAAGATCGATTTTAACAAAAGCAAAAAAAACTAGGTTTTTTGCACTATATAATATGAGACTTGAAGCGCAAATGGCCAAATATCCAGTAGCAAATACTCATAAAATATATTATCTTGCGCTTTCAGACGACCAGTGGTCCCGAGGCCGTTGGTGCGGATAAGGTTTCCAGATTCCGGGTGCGCCCACGACCAGAGGGACCAAATGGCGGTGAAACACCTCAACGAAGCTCTGTTCGAAGAACTTCATTTGTTGGTACGTCCGGAAAACTGATTGCTTTCTAAAAAACGTCCAATCAAAGTTTGCTACCAAGTTTCCGTCAAATATGACGAAGTGCAGTATGTTACGTCGGCTAGCAATAACAGAAAATCTACAACAGAAATGATGTTTATTGTGTACAGCTAGAAAGATTAGCTGCTCTATGCAAGAAGCTATTCAGTTACAGCGAAACAAGTCTTTGGCTCATATAATGTACGTAACTTAGGTAAACTTAAGTTGTTCGAAAATCTAATTTTGCTGTCTTTTCTTTAACGACGTTATCATAGGGACGGCGCAGTACATAAGCCCAGAAGTATTGGTGTCTGGACCCGTATCGCCAGCAATGGACATGTGGGCCCTTGGGTGTGTCATATATCAGATGGTGTCAGGCTTACCCCCTTTCAGGTAATTAGCAACATACTACCACCGAGCCTTAAGTATTTACAATGAAGCATAGTAAGTCTGTGCCGGCGACGTATAGACCTAGAGAAAAACAACGAAGTGCTTATAGTCATTTATGTCTTGGCCCAGCGTATTGTGCTGTGTGTACGTTGATCGTAACGTATATTTTATTCTAGTTTAGAACGATTTTTTGGTAGTTTGACCTATTCGTCATTAAACTACTATCTTTCATGATCGTTTGTCATGTGTGCGTTTGCAGAGGATTGGCTGCTTATCACATATTTCAACGCATTATCAACCTTGATTACAGTTATCCAGAGGACTTTGATGAAGATGCACGTAGGGTTGTCGAGTCCTTATTGAAAATTATCCCGAAGGTATGAAACGGGATCTGCCAGCGATGGCAGATTTGCTGGTGTAAAAAAAATATTAGCTCCCTTTTTATGCTGCAAAAATCAAAGTGTAAAAGATTAAAACACTCATTAATATATCCTGATAGCAATATTTCTAATTAGAAGATATGATTCAAGAATCCATACTGTGACCTACGATAAACAACAAAGACATAAAGTACTTTAAATCGGTGTAATGTGTAATTTATAGAAAATGAGACAAGATACGAATGTATCAGAAATACTTAACTAAGCAATCATCTTCCTTCTATCTGTTCCATAGGAACGTGCCACAATTAAGGACCTGGAACGTGATTCTTACTACGCGGGCATGGATATTGACAAGCTGCATTTACAGGCACCTCCAGAGGTATGGTTAGCTCTGTAAGCCACGGTAGTAGCTTATTTGCGTAATATGACATTTTTTCGTTGCAGTGAAGAGGGATATGAAACAGCTAGTCGATTTCAAAATTTTTCTTGTTTAAACTCATGTCCGTTTATATATAAAGCTTGCTACAGATTCTTTAACATTTTTTGGTAAATCGGTTTTACCTGTGCTTCTTGATCTCGACAAAGTGGAGAAAATCGAACTAAGATCACCTATCTATATCTTCATTTATTATATTTAAAAATTTTCTACCTTTTTTTACTTTGTAGACGCCAATTTTTCATATTAGGCGATAAATCTTGACGACCTGATTGAAAATGCAATAAATAACTAAAATAGATATTGCTGAAAGAAAATTGCGAAAACTCTGTTGGTTCGCCTATGCAACAATAAAATAGAAATACATTTTGAATGGTTTTTTAGTAAATCTCTAATAAATGTCAATTGAAAAGTTAAAGCAACTAGAGTTGATTTTCGTGAAAATATTTCCTTAAATCATGATTCATGATAAATTGAGAAAAATGCCAAAACGTCAAATGAATATTAGTAGTTTTTTTTTTTTTATTAACAAAAAATATGTGTGCATTGGCTGCGAACAGGGTGAATACATCAACCGAAACATAAGGTCATAATGAAACGTATATTGTATCTTCACTTAGTTTAACATGTGCAACTTTTTTATGTGAATAAGCAAGGTAAAAAACCTTCATGTTTCAAAAAGTTAAAAAATCAAGAAGAGACCAAACGAAACATCATTCGAATTAGAATATGTCCATATTATGTACTCATTTAGAAGGGAAAGATAGAAAATATGGAGCCTTGGTGATGTATGAGGAACATAGTTGATCTTAATTTGATGTAATGTGTAATTACTCCCCATAAACGAAAACTAAAAAAATTCATCAAGCCATGGTGACGTCCCAAGAACAGAATGACATCTACTGAAGTCGCCCAAAGGACTGAATTCGCTCTGAAGGACGTACATGAATAGTACGTCCTTCAGAGGTCAGCCGGCCTTATTCAAGTGCGTTTCGAAAATAAAGTTAACTACATAACAGACTTCGTAATCACACTGAATAAATGTATCAAAAGACAACATGTCACGGCAGAAACAAATTTGGCATTATAAGCTTATATTTGTTAGTTTATCTATATATATATGAACAAATTATAATTTATTATACTGGTTGTGTAGAACAATGTTTCTGCAGTCAGTATTGTAATATCTCTATTGTATTCGAAAGAATAACTTGTCTAAAAAAGAATATGAAGGCTCAACCAGCATAGACAAGTACCATCATGAGTGACAAAAACGTTACAAATTTTTGTCTGATTGTGAAAAGTACTTTTATTGAACGATGATAGGCCTGGAATTGCTGTAGATAAGTTCGAAAATAAAACTTGTATGTGATGCGTGGTAACAAATATTTTTAAAATATATCAATATGAACTAACCGTCGTTCTTGTGTTGGATTTTCTGCCTGGTTCGTTTGTCGTATTAGATTGTACCGTTCCTAGCAGGCACCTCAGAGGAAATAGATTGGGGTAAAGTAGATGCCCCAGGTCTCGATGAAAATCAAATGAGTCGTTTATGGGGATTGCACCTCGGGGATGGTGCGCACGAGACCGAGCAAAAAGATAACCCTTCCGCGTCTTCAGACCAGGTTAGCTGACATTTCAACATTAACATAACCATGCTGCCAAATTTCGTTGTGCGTAAGCCTAGTAAATTGCTGTTTAACGTCTCATACTGCCGTTAAACCTCGCCTCAGACATTCTTTTAACGGTACTTTACACTGGAATCTAAACCCTGGTTTATTCCGTATATGATTTATGCCGCGTAACGTTAAACTATAAGACGATGAATTATAGAACAATGTGCAAATTATTAGTTGGCAAACTTGCTGTCGCATTGTGGAAGGTCTGGATGTTTTTTTACGCGTTATGTAACTCGAGTGCTCAGTCCGGTTGTCGTGAAGACTGCGAGGCCGATTCGAATAACTGATCTTAGTTTCGGAAGTTTGTTTGAAGCTCAATTACTGTAATACTGTCGAAACGATAACCTCCTTTTCATTCTTTACAATTTCAGCCTTCAAAGCCGCCGGCAAATGTTATTCGGCCGGCTCCTAAAAGCATCATGGATTTCACACAAGAAGAACGCGAACAGCGTCTAGCGGATCAGCGATGTCGGAGCAAGTGGCATAAATTCGTTGAAGGAAATTTGATTCTCAAGGAGGGATTTGTGGATAAACGTAAAGGACTTTTTCCAAGAAGGTTCGTTAATTTCATTTGATTAGTGTGCCATATTACCCCACACATTTTTGTGGAGTCGTTTGCATCAGCTATGTTCTGCAGCTATCCATATGGGTAAAATGGATTATATACATTTTAATTTTTTCTTTAACAGCTAGTCAAAAATATTCTTCTCTCGGTGGCATCAAAAAACACACATTTTCGAATTGACCTTTCCTGTGTGTGGCTACTATTACTAAAGTCAGTTCTACCATGCAGTCGAATTTCGTCAAAAACAATAGAAAATTTCGAGGAATACCCAATGGCCATTTTGAGTTTTGTTCTGTTTGCTGTTATCAGAATGTGTCTGAACTAAACATCGTAAACGAATATACATTTTTGTTTTGCTTAGACGCATGCTACTTCTGACAACGGGCCCGCACCTCTACTATGTTGACCCTGAAAAGATGGTCCTTAAAGGCCAGATCCCGTGGTCTTCAACACTTACTCCAGAGCCGAAAAACTTCAAGACCTTTTTTGTCCACACTGTAAGTAGTTATTGAATAGCGATACATTATTATATGTTTTCAACTGCAACGTTTGGCTTTGTTTGATTGCATGGTATCTGTTACGTCTAATTTCAAGTACTAATTTCAACGTCCGAATCCTTTAATTACACAGCCAAATCGGACCTACAATCTAGAGGATCCTGAAGGGTATGCATTGCGTTGGTGCAAGGCGATCAATGAGGTGTATGAAGCTACCTATGGGCCACGTCCCGTGAATCACCAACAGCATCGAAATCCCACCCCAAACGTGACGGGAAACCGAGGACAGCGGTCGTTTTAACACGTCTAGTGAAAATTAGCAAGCTTGTACCCGGACATGTACCCGGAGATGCCTAAACTGTTTCGGAAAGGAGTACAACGCGTTTCACATTAGTCATCAACAAAGAGCTAGTTAAATTATGATGCTATGCTGAGACTGCCACTGAACTTCCAGTTAGTTTGGAATAGATATCCGGTCAACACATTAACTTGTGACTTAGGAAGTTATCCGTAATAATAATAAACACATTGAAGATATGCAAATTTGGCCTACCACAAAGTTTGCCAACTAAAGACTAGCGCTTAGAGATAAAAAAAAAAAAATAGCGACGTGAAGCATGTGATTAGGGGCAGATACTTGCGCTGATCACTCGAATAATAGCAATGGAAAAATACCTACATACTTCGAATGCCACTTCACAACTACCGGAACGTTAATAATTCCTCTACTACGAGCATATATGATTCATTCGTTGGGCTGGTTAAGTGCAAACTGGGGCAGGATTTACCGGATCGCACTCACGAGAAGCGTTACCCTAAATCTGGTAGATTAGATTCGATGGCAATAATTGGTTTGAGCATGGTGCTCTCTGACTCGGATGCTTTATGGGGAAAAAAAAGAAAAAGTGGCAATGCTCAGTGGGCTTTGTGGGTGGCAAACATAAAAAAATGGAGATCGCACTGCATCCTATCAAAGCTACCTATGCAAAAGTAGGCGCGCTTCGTACCGCATTAACGCGTCTGAAACCGCCTTTCTTGTGGCATGGATGCAGGTCCCCTGAATATATTTGCAGGCCGTTTCAAATTCTTGAGGTTTATTATCTACAGTCATATAGAGAGCTCGAAGCACCAACTAGCAGCATCACGATGCTTCCAGCATTGCATCCAACACAAGGTGTGCGTCATATTTGTTGGAACATTTGCAGACCATGCCATTAAATGACACGTCTCTACTTAGTTATCCTCTCAGTCCTAGAGTACGATGCAGCGGATAAAATTGGCGCGCACTTGTGCTTATGATAACTATTTGTTGATTGTACTTTTGTTTGCGAAATACTGATCTCTTTAGTACTATTTAGTTTACTTTTCAATTGTTTGAGTTCAGTGTATGAGAAAAATGACGGATATTTGGTACGCTGTTATTCTGCTGTAGCAGAAATTTTATACCCACAAAATACCGAATATAAACGTAGCCATATTGGAACAGTGTTTGGGCAACAATTAAAAAAAATTGAATATCAACTGGTAGACTACCAAATAGCAGAAATGAGCTATGTGAATCAGTAGCTTTGATTACTTGATATAGAGATTACAAAAAAAATCCATCGAATTAGGGAGGAGGATCCGCTCCATGGGAAAATTTCTTGGCACCTCTTAGCATTGTATCAGTGAGCGTTTCAGTGCAGCTTTGCTAGCAACTCCAGCAAAAAAAAGCATAATACTCAAAAATGCTACTCCAGGTCGAGGAAATGATTCTACAATTATCTGACGGCGAAAGTACATTCAATTGCCTCGTATCTAAGCCAGAAAGGGTTATAGATCAGTGGTAAAACAACTATTGACAGGATCTCATCATATGAGCTACCGTAAATCTATAGTCTGAAAAGCTAACGCTGTGCATGCAGTGTGCATAATGTGTATGCAATGCACACTGATTTGTCAGTAAAAACAGCAGTGACCTTAATCACAGCGACCAGCAGCGCAATAAGTAAATGTGTATGTTGACAAATGGATATTGCCCAAACGGCGGACCCAGCGGTCAGTGTCAGCACCAATGGTAAAGGCCAGACTACCTGCACTCATGCTATAATTGAAACCGATAAATGTGTGATAGATGAATATAGGGTTGCGATATGGAGTCGTAATGGTAGTAGTAGTAGTGGTAGTAGTAGTGGTAGCAATGAATTGAGCAAAATAGTTGCATGAAGCTGAAAATGGAGTGGGAAGCAAAAAGAAGTGCGGAAAGTTCAACATGCACATAGGGAGTCATCAAGCGCGAAATGTAAATAGAATGTACACATTGTAATGGAACCCAGAAAAAAAACCAAGTGAAAATACAATCAGAAACTGCCTTGAGACCCGCCGAAAAAAAAAACAGCCAGGTCCCGAGATAATTGACTCACTGTTGCTACTCAGAGTACAGCTTAGATATTGGATAAGCAGGCTTACATTAGCTAATAATAAGACTACTTAATTTTGCATACTGGGGAGGGTAAGACGTGGGAGCAGAAGTAAGCGAACTGAATAACCATAAACAAGAATTATCGAAACAGGAAAAAAAAAATGAAATTTTCGTTTTCATCAGACTTTTTTTTATCCACATACAATGGGCTCCACGCTACGATTTAGGAAGACATAAGCCTGCGCACATTTGAGCATGACTTCGATAGGCAAAGGCTAAGGTCCACGCATAAAGGCTGAAGTGAGCAGGACATTTGAATGACAGATTACACCGAACTACTGTCGGTTCCATGCTGATCAAGCATTCCCTATGCACTAAGGTTTCTTTTGCTGAACAGCTGGCGAGGATTTTTTCGCTTGAAGACCAAACATAAAAAAAATCACTAAAAATACGAACGCGCAGTGCGGGGTCTGATTCGTGTGTAACTCGTAATGGTGTAATTCTTCATTAATATTTCATAAAGCCACGATTGAACATCTTCTTCGAATCAGGGCATGGGCAATTGCTTTTGTAGCACAAAGAGCTCGATCGGAGTCGGCTAGAGAGTATCGATTTCAATAACCTATAAAAAGACTAAATAGCACAGTTCCTGCAAAATTAGTGAAAAATTAATAAATATTTGCGAAGGATACAGATGGATGAAACGAGTATAAAACCCATAGTAAGAAGCACGGTATGTGAAGTCATTGTGTGATTTTCAGTAAGGACAACTGAAGTATCGGAGTAAGACTAAAGAAAAGGATGGTAAGCTATAAATAACTAAATACATGACGATCATCGTGAACAATTGATTACGGCAAATGTTTGGCACATTTAGGTTGGTACCTACCCCAAAAAATGGCATGTGTGAAAGGGGAAGCGTGAGAGCGATGAGTGACTTAGGCATAAGCGGATAAAGTGTGCATGTTCTGAAATAGAGACATTTATAGTTTTGTGCTAGCTATCCGAACTCATTCGATGCGCACGCCTATGTCGACTTGATTGGATGGTATCCATGGAAGACAGTCACAAGAAGTAAGCAAAAGCTTGCATTTAATCATTAGTAGAAATGGATTCTTTCGGACCTATCGTCTAGTACGGGTGTTTTTTCGTTGATCGCTTCAGTCGTATCGTGTTCCAAGGCGCAAGCAAACATTTGCCCGTTACAACTTACCTCATACGGTTTGTGTTGCAGTGCTTCAGTAGTAGAACTCTCAAAATGAGGCTAATTATTAAAAGAGTGAGCTGGTTATGCGGAAAAATATTGATTTTTCTGCGTCGTATGCATACAGGGCCCCTGAACTACAACAGGTATTCACAAGGTAGAGTTACTGGAGGCAAATGCTCAAAAAACATTGAGATGAAACTAAAATTGACTATAATGAACGTTAAATAGCCTATAAAAAATAGAATAATAGAAGTTACATATAGAACATTTACGAAATAAATATTAAAAATGCAAACTTGCCCCGGATCGGTTTCGTGGAGCAAACTTCGACCTTCCGACAAAAGGATCGCGGAAAAGAATAATAATAGTAATCCGTAAAACGCTAACTGCGAATATTTCCAGCCTGATCCGAACAGGAGTTTTGTTAGAACGTATTTTAGAAACCAAGTATTATTGCCAACCGCAGTTTCATAACTCCATATTATTACCTATATTATAATGACTTAAGGTCTCGCAGGAGCGAGAGAGTGGAACACTAGTCAGGGTGACACTGATCACACTCAGCAGAAGTTCATGAGAAAGTAACTGCATTCGTTATCCGTATATCGCGGCTGCGTACGAACCATTTTCATGTCTAGTCATTGCACGAACAGGCCCTCGGTCCGTTTTCACTATGGTACTTCATTATCAATAGGTCATGGCATCGGTTGTGTCAGTATATTTACGAAGTCCGAAATTCATTCTCCTCCGTACATACAAGCCCATAATCAGTGGTTTCGAGTAGTGAACATTTTTATACCTTTTTCTTTTCCGTAAGAAAGGGAAGGATATTGCTAGCTCCGAATAGGGGTCTTGGGAAATCTTTTGGGTACGAAGGGTTCGAAACTGCGGACTACGTGTGTGAACAAACAGACCGCTTTCTAACATCGAGTAAACGCTAAATTTGCAAGTGGTTTAAACGGGACCTACAGATAGGCTACAATAAGGAGATTAATTATATTGAAAGTATGCAACACAATATCGTTTGCATCTTCCTGACCGATGTATAATGGTCTCATTGGATCAGGAGGTACAATAGACCATACAGAAGATATAATAGCATAGCAATGATACGTTGAATAAATCAAATCATTCAATGACGACATCGTACATTTACTGCAAAACATTTTTTTTTCTTTGTACGTAGGAGAGCACTGTTTCAATAACTGTTCCTGAACACCTCAAAGCATCTGTCTGTACGGCATTAGGCGAAATACATATAGCGAAATACATCATTTGATATACGACACACGTTATCTAATAGGAAAAATGCATTCCTATATGACTGTATCAAAAAGGTATCGACTATGGACCCATAGCTAAGTTTGTAGTACACGCTTACTTGTCTGTTTGCTATTCATGGACAAAATTTCAAAGCACTTAAATGTGAGCTTTGTCTGTTGCAAGCGCTTTAACATGAGCAACTTTAAGAAGCGATACAAAAGACATTTTTACTTACAAAGATACTTCTTTAAGTGTAAATTACGTCATTCGAAAAATTCGATCAGCGGTACAAATACTGCTGAAGGCTTTTCGGAGTTTAGTGTCTGAGCGGACCAACAAACGACAGAGCCTAAATACGACCTTGGTTCAGGGCGATCTGGCGCAGCGAACGAAAACCTAGGAAAAATAGTAGCTTGTATTCGAAGGTAGCTTCAAGGCAAAAGGAGCTCTCAACTGAGAATATGCCGACGAGGCCGAGTTTCAAGCAAGTACAATCTCGTTAATAATATTTTAGAAAAACTTTAACGCATTTAAAACGAAGCTGGACCTACAACACATCATTGCAGGTCACCAAACGTGAGTGTCTAGTAGAAAAGTAGCTGTGAGTTCTTCGCCACAATCACGCATCAGCTTACGGCGTTGCTTACGTTTTTTGCGCAAAACTCAAAACCGTGTATGTGTGTTTGTATTTAAGACAAGAAAAATGGTGGGATACACCCATGAAATCTGAGAGGGATTGCCTCAAGGTGCCAATAATCCTGACATGTGTTAAAAATTGGACATCGTACTGCTTCTTTAGTATAGGGGACAGAAAACATAGAATACTATAAAAAGTAGGTTTACTAATTCCTTTCACTTGCAAGCCCATTGTTTCCGAGTCTGCGTTTGACCTATTCCCTCACTTTTTTTTTTCTGAAAATGAAGCAAAATTTGTGTGGTCCATTGAAGATTTTCGCTCTACCCGTGCAGTGAGGCTACGATATCATCTACATGTTCAACGAGATTTAACAATAGAAATTTTTAAACACATTTCTCTTAATCTTGCAGTTTGGTGGTAGCCGGCCATTGTTCTAAAAAATAAATTTCTAAGTGGTCTTTCGCTTGTGCCTCCCTCTTGGCCTTCAGATTTGAAATATGATTTTCTAATATCAGGATTGTTTCATTTGAAATGCCCATTTTATTTTTCAAAACTCCAAATTCATCTATTTTAAAAATGATTTTATTTTTCCTTTTTTGGCTTTATTTAGCCAGGCGGATAAAGCGAGGGGAGAACTGTTGATTTGTATGTAACACTTAGACAAATGTCAGATAATCATCGAGTGGCTTTCACTGTTTGTTAATCCCATTATTTTAACAATTTTTCATTATGACGAGAACTGATATGAGGTAAAAGCGTCCTTTTAATTAACCAGTTCTATTAGTTGTAGGTGAATACAGTAGGTCCTATTCTGGCTCGAATTCTAAGGTAGGCACACGTGCTCTACTTGCCAGCATGATTTCATATGCACTTATTATACGCATATTGCGTCCACGTTTATCAATAGGTGTCGTGACGACCAGTTCCGTGATGCATAAAAGCCCGGAATTTTTTGTCCTGTTTCACCGTACGGTAGTATACAACGATCTGTAGAGAATAGCATAAAAGAATGAATAAATCACAAATCAGACTACATAGATATAATACTTTGATTTGTGTGCACTCCGAAGGATGATTTATATAGTATTGATTAGTAGAAGTTCTCAAAACCGTCGGAAGTTCAAGCCGTCAAAACATAGGCCTCATACCTGTGTGAATTTTAGTAATAACGCACGAACAGCAACATACGCCTTTCGACCTTGTTAACATGTAAATATGATCTATGAATGTACATATCTGTACTACAACGTATGATTGAAGAAGACTTATGTTTGCCTTAACATAGATGATATCCATCTGTATCTACAAATCTGAAGACACGTGACGCAACGAATTGCTTTCAATAAAAATGAATTCCGCCTTTATCTGCGTACTAAAAACCTTTCATCTTTGAGTTAATTTGCCTCTACAACAGGTGGTAGAGATATAAATTATCGACATTTAATAATTTATACATTTATCGATAATTTATCATTGTGTGTGTAACAGTACGGAGCTGAAAATAATTGACGTCAGGTTGCAGGAAACTGTGTCCTCCGGATAGGGGTCCGCTGATCGCGCATTGCGATACAGTTGTATCCTAAGCAAGGAGAACAAAAATTACAAACCTCTAAAATGATTGCGATCAACGAAGCAGATACACCTGCAGACATAATGTGCACTGCCCCTATCACCTGACTATAGGTCAAGGGATCTGGCGTTTGTACGGCTGCCCACTCATTATCACTAAACCTAAAAAGCAAAACATTATATACATCTTTATTGGCATATTATCTATTGCCTATGTACTACTTGAAACAAGCGACTTCCCAATAAGAATAGGTTTTTCATTAGACCAGCAAACGGCTGAACGAATTATTACGTAGGCATAGCTGGTTATGAACGCCGTTAACCATTTCAAATTTCTCTTCAGAGTCGTTTAAATCCGACAGATTTGTGTACTGATGTGCCGCCAAAATGGACCAAAAAACTGCAGGACAAAACCGCCTACTGGGAAAGACACCAACTTCGACTTCAATTAAAACTATTTATTAATTATTTGTTGATAGAAACAAATGAATAACAGTCATTTAGGTATGTTTTTAGGCAAAGGTCGACCAGTTGGCCGAAATTACAATATAATAGATCAATTTCGTTATGGAAATCATGACAAAAGGACTAATTTGTGTTCCCGTGAGTCATTCATGAGGGTATATTAAGATTAAGGAGATCTTTGAAGCCTGTCGATCATCGAAGATCAAACTAGGCCGTGTAACTCCAGCAAGAATCGATACCAGTTAAAATCATTACATGATATACATTGTGCACCAGCTCACTTGCGCCATATATCCGTAGTATTTAGAAGGTCTTACAATTGATAACGAGGACACTATAAATATTTTTAAAGGAACTTGTTGTATTTGATCTACAGACATTAGTCGCATTACAATTTTATATGGTTTTGTACGGCTTGGAAATATACATAGTAGTAGATTTTCACGCTACTACGTTTATTACGCGGATATTAAGTATTCACAAGTTAGCGGAGCGCTTTTTTTTTTCTCTTTTCTTTTTACCAATTCGTACACGCATGCCAATAGAGCTATCTATCAATAAGCAATTAGAATTACTGCAATCATATAGTAAATCGTCGTTGTTAGATTAATACCAGTTGGTTGAGTTTTTTAACCAAACTCCCACGAGTCCAGCCTCCCAAAGGTGCATTACTCTGAAATGCCAAATGATTTCGTTAGCCATGTAGGGAACGTCCCCATCTCAAATCTATTTGTAACGCCTGACACGGTTCTGGGTATGTTAAAAGTAATAGCATATGCATAACTTATTTCTACCTCCATTCGACTGTGCATATAAATTTTCAGTGTGTAAAAAATTCATTTACGCAAAAATTGCGAGGAAATTCGTTTGCCGCACGGCCAACTAAAAATACTTAAATATGAAAATGTACCGTCGAGATTTTTAACTTGCGCAATTTTTTGGATTTTTGAGATCGCCCGTAGACAAGGTTCGCTAGCTATTTTTCTTCTATAGAATTTCAGTGCCAAAGTATGGTATACAACGCATATATTTGAAAGCTTGAAAACCAAGTTGTCATCGGTCCCATATATTTGGTTTAATGCCTTGGGCTAGTAGCCTGAGGGCTGGCAATTTAGACACCATGTAATTTAATTAGAAATCCTTATCACGATCTAATGTTCTGTTTTTTTTTTAACTTTAACTGCAGACATAAACGGACTTTCTTTCACCTTTTGTATTTAAAAAAAAACAGTATAAGGCAATTATATGTAATATCAATAGTAATATATTTATCGGAAAGATTTGAGATTTATCGCTAAAAAAAAGAACGAAACGGTTTTTCGTTTAACGTACAATCCAGATATATTTTGTACTATCATAGTATGTATAACTGGCGTATCCGATAGTTAGTGAGTTTGATTCAAGTTTCAGGACCCATTGATTTTCGCAAATAAATTATGCCCGAAAAGACAAGAACGGTTCAGCAAAATGAAATGGGTTAAGATGGAAAACAAAAAACTTCGATAAAGAGGCACGCATATATAGGCTTTGTCAGACAGGTAAAATGAGAAAAGCCTTCGTGGATAAACTAGGGAAACCCTCCATTCATTTTCAACAGTATACGAAATAACTAATATATCTAAATAGAACTAAATATCTAAATTGTGTTTTACGCACGCTTCTCTTTACATTCTTTCCTCTTAAAAATACACAGGACAGATAATACTCACAGAAGGTTGACAGGCTTTGTGATTCCGAGACCTTTGCGCATGGCAATACCATATGCACCCATCTGGAAGGAGTCTGGCGCAAAATACACGGAATCGAATCTCGAAAGATCCGCGAGAACACCAATGTATTCACCAATATAGGCATACCTTTCACGTTGCACACGCTGTCAACGAGCCATATTAAAACACGTCACACTGTAGAAACTGCGTAAATCTTTATGGCAGATTATCACAATAATATCATTGTTCGGAATACAATAACATGGCGACAGGTGACTGGTAACATTGTTGCTTATCCGTTTGAAAATTTCAGTTCGAATACGTGGGTAGCTAAAAAAAAAATCATTGATACTAAACCACTCGTAATCGAGGTACTTAGGTTACTAGCCTAGATAATTAGCTGTTGATGGGCGTCAGAGAAATGATTGCTTGTACATATATATATATATATATATATATATATATATGGCGGCGTATCGTAAATTTAAACGGGTGGCTTCCGCGGTCATTCCAGGCCTTGGGAACTCTGTGTATAGTGGCCAAAAGTTAACTAAACTTTTTCCATTATTTCGATTGAATTGAAACGGTTTCATACATGCTCAAGCTGGCCTTTTGTATGTGATTAAAATGATGATTATTATTATCGTATACTGTGGTATGTTATACAGTTCAGGTTTTTTAACTCTTATGTCGGCAGTTGGGTATCTCCAGTGTATGGATCTGACCAACTTGTTTTTAGAAAAAAAAAAAACAGAACTTTATTACAGAACGTCAAGTCCTTATCAAGGTTTTAGCACCTGTAATCCTTCAGCATCATTACCCACGGCGTTATCATCCGATATAAGCGAATGTAAAATCAATTGATTCACAGGCGACAGCGGATGTTCTTGCTGAAATGAAAAACGATCCAAAATTAGCATAGCAAGTAGAATACTTAAAACTTCTGTTTTAGTTTCTCAATAAATAATGTAAGTTTTTTAAGGCTGCTAAAAAGGTACATGTGCATTGATGTAATAAAATGGCCTAGTTAAGGTACATCTATTACAAGATGTATCATCTCTCACTTTGCGTAGTGTTTCTTATAATCAATTTTTACGCTTAGATGGATCCATGGGCAACGGATGCTTTTTTTCATTAATCCATCACAGACCATGTGAGATTGTTGTAAGAACTATACCTGTACAAATCACCTGATAGCTAGGCACGTATACAATCGGTTAATAATCTGTCATTCTACATCATTCACCCATTTTATCTATTCGTCTTTCGAAATATACGTGCTCTCCATGATTATGCGCTAATACCGTCTCGCATACGTATTGATTTTACGCTTCCTATGGATTGTAACATCAGTTGCTGGTAAATTTTGGCCTGCTAGTGAGATTCATTTGCCTACAGTCGGTCCCGGACTATATCTTCATTACTATTACTTTATGGATGCATGAGGTCTAGAGTGTTGCAAATAATCATAACTCGTTAAGAGAACAATGGTTTCAAATAAATGTATACAGGGTTTCTTTGCGGTCCACATTCTTCAGTCAGTGTGAGACTAAAACTATTCGACCCGAGATAAATAACCCACCTATATATCCGTTAGATTTTCCACGTCATGAAACTGCGTTTTTCAAAGACAATAGTACCTAGTCAATACAGTCCTAGGAAGGCAAAAAGGGCGATCAGAAGTCAAACACATATTGGCCACAGCACAAATTTACCCGACAAATTTGTGTCTGACATTTCGGTATCCTAGACATGCGCCACCGTTTTTTTTTTCTCTAAAATATCTACTACTACTACTACTACTACTACTACTACTACTACTACTAGTACTACTACTACTACTACTACTAGTACTACTACTACTACTACTACTACTACTTACTACTACTACTACTACTACTACTACTACTACTACTACTACTACTTACTACTACTACTACTACTACTTACTACTACTACTACTACTTACTACTATTACTACTACTACTACTACTACTACTACTACTACTACTACTAGTCTTTATACCATGGTCACCCGCTCCCATTTTTCTATATCGCTTCCCGTTAGCCCTATACCGAAGTACAATATGTGCTCAATGAACAGCGCATACGTCTATTGACTGATTTCTTCACGTTAGAGAATTCGATGCTGGCATAACCCATATGTTTCGAGTTCTATGTCCGACGTCGTCGTCCGGAGTCGAACCTAGCCCACAACGCGTCGTTAAAATTAGAAGGCAAACACGTTACTCACTCAGTTTACCATAACCCATATCTATCTAACTGTAAATTGTCTTATAACATCTCTAGGTCTAATGCTAAGTTCGATAACCATAAAGCTGCCCTTTCTGGATGTGACTCTCGTTTTCGTTTGTTCTGTCATACTTTCATTTATTACAATTGTGTGCCATACTTTTGTATATTGCAAGGTAAACGCATTTCCTAATTAACTAGCATCCCACGTCAGCGTCGTCAGGAGGAGTGATTCGATGTTACGCCCCCAATTAGCATAGCCTGTTTTTGTTCAACGGGTTTTGCTGTTATATTTTCCAGAAACAAAAACACAGGCAGCAATACCCAAACATATATGGATATATGAATAGTGGTGTTATATATATATATATGTACATGTTAACAATTTTGCACTATCTGTTACATCATTGTTTCGTCCGTATCGGAAAGGGACTGGCACATCGATCTTCAGTGGAATACTACGATGTAGCATGGTATGAGTTGAAACATACAGCCATACAATTTACTCCTTCCTATTGCGCACAGTAAGCTACAGGACATTGACCCCTCGATACGGCACTGAGTGTGACGATGGTCCTGATCCTAATATCAGGTACAGAGTTTTCTCTGAAATCGAACGGACGTTTGAAGGAACAGATAGTAGTAATAAAACCGCACTTCGTCTGTGAACTACAGACGATGATTCACCGATGCTTTTTTGATCACTGAGATACTGTAGTTCTCATTTGCAAAACTTACCAGCACATGACAAAGGGCAACGTCAATCCTTTTTTTTTTGCTGTGAACATCACTTAAATCATGCATTGCCACGTGGCTGTAAGATCTTTTGAATGGCGCATCTAGCCAGTAAATAAATAAACTTATTCACAAAATCGTTTCACGTATTAAAGGAGCGCTGCCAGATGTGTATTTGCTATATATTATGGTAACTTGCAATTTACAATTGGCTTCACATTCTAAATAAGCTAACTTAAATAATAGCAGAATGGAGATTGGTGAAGAATATTTATTTGCTATTAAAGAATAAGTTCTAAAAAATTAGCTTGTAGCTAAAACCGAGTCATGGATGCTGGACAACAAACCTGAAGAGCTTTTTCGAAGTCAGTCCCACGTATCGTCCCACACACGATAGTTCCTTTCTTTAATGCATTTGCTAATTCGTCTATTGTGTCAATGATGTTTTCTAATCCTGGATGCGTCATTGAAGAGAATAGTTTACCCGAGTAGCTTGCCGACAGAACTAACGACAACATCAGCCACAGGCAAAAAAGAAGACGCTGCGAGACCAAACTTGGAACCCACCTACAACCTGTGAGAAGTAACAATGGATTACCGAACTCGTACTAAAGATAGAGACTGGTTCTGTCTATTCATAAAATTAATATCTAATGAGCGTTTTGATTATTTGGTAGGACTTTCCGAGAGATGCATGATGACTCGAGGCTATTTTGAGGTTGAAGGTTATGATAGTTAAGCGAATAGTATAAACTTGTAGTAATTCAAAGAGCTGTTCGGATACTGATGTAAACAATTCTAACATGAAAGATGGGCTTAAATCATACCGAAGAAACGATAAGTCTAAAACAAGAGAGTGATCAAGAAAGCGCTGCGCAATTTACCGAGACACTACTTCAGGTCACAATCTGAAGTGTAGTATCTCGGTATATATTGCAGTAGCATTCGTATCATAACCCGATCTTGATAACAAATGGACGATGAATGATCCAGCAATCTCCAAAAAAAGTAAGTAGCTCTAGAAAATATAGCAGACGTCTGTCTGTCAAGGAAGTGATAAATCTAAAATCGAAACGTGTGAACAATGAGTCCAACGTAACTACCTTAGAAGCGTCTAATTTTTTCTTTATTTTCAAAGCTCTAACTGCCCTGTTCTTTGACCCAGAAAAACGCTTCATAAGCGATGCCGTTTCGTGGCCGAATCCCATTGTCCAAGACCGTTTTCGTTCCGAAGCAGTAGGGGCAGCGAATGGCACTCACTCACTCACTCACACGATACGCACACGACCCATCATACACAACCGGCGGGAGTCGTCATACTCAGGTTAAAGGAATCAATTAGAATTAGAAAAGAGATAGAAACAGAAAAAAAAACAATTAGAAAGTAAAAACATAAATCACTATCGCATTATAGCGTTGTTTATAGTTATGATTCTGTATGAACTGTACCAGATTCCTGGACTCATTGACTTTCGCGATAAATGTGAAAGCGTTGATAGCTAGCTACCTTTACCAAGAAGGAGGCCGTGGATTTCCAGCAGTGAGACGAAGCCGTGGAACTTTTCAGGAAGACGTAACGATGCACAGCGGACTATAAGGGACACCCCGATTGTTGCCGCCAAATATAACCAAACCTGTAATAAGGTGAATGGCTGTAAACATTTAGGTAGCATGCGTGACTCTTATCAATTGATTATATTAAGCTCCACATTCAGGACTGAACAGGTAAACATCACGTTACTCAAACGATAAGGTTCGTGACGTTTCTTATCGCTATTGCGTGCAAGACATTTTCTTAACGTATGTTTGTGCTAGGTTCGGACTTGAAAACGATCCAGGAGACACGAGGGAACTCTGTCCTCCACTTTGGAGAATAACTTCCCTGGTGTCACGCCTGACTAGCGCTCTAATTGCAAGCTCAGAAACTTTACAAATAAGGAATCAGAAACTATTAGATCTCCAATGGTGCGCATCGAACAAGCGTGTTTAATGTGATTATAAGCGTTGACAAGCCTGACCTCAGGTGAAAATGGCCGTATGATGGCATCTGCAGGATCGAGAAGTTGCGGTGGTCGAACAGCAAATGTAATTCTGTCCACTAAGTACGGAAAGCTGAAATCTATAACCCGGTATCGCTCGTATGATAATGACATCCCTGATAAAGCGATATCGAATTCCTGATCATACCAATACCGTAGATCAGCATCATACGCACATAAAGGAATTATTAGTATTTTCCTAAAAGCGATTTCTCGAAAGAAAACTACCATGTTTATTTGGGTCTAAGTATACACTCGCACATGCTGCTACGCCTCTAGTAGCATCTATTAATTTTCTGTATTGAAAACATATTCGTATATGTTCTAGAGCTAACTAGAAGCTATCCGTTTCTGCAAAAATGTGTTTTTGGTAGCACCTTATGGTCTCGTTCAAAGCGTCACTATGAAAACCTTGTAGGGTTTCTCTTAGAGAATTACGAGGCCGGCAGGTCACCATCTGAACAGCTCTCGTAGCTAATGACCTATTTTTAATGTACTTTTACTTTTTCATAAGTCCGACGTAAAATAAAACCGCTCGCGCGTGATAGAAGCGCGTATGAGTCATCCTAGCCACGTTCTCTCACTGTGTACTGATTGTCGGTGACGATCAGCCATGACGCGCTTAGCGAACGAAACTGTCTGTTGTAGGTTTTTCAGATTCAACTTCGGAAAAGAAAGAACTTACGTTTCTTTGTAGCATACCGAGCATGCCTGAGCAGTTGCCGCGTGATCCACAAGAACCCCAGCTGCGCACTGGAGACATCGATATAGTAAAACTGAAGCGAAGAATCGAGCAGACCGCAGATATAATCCTTTAATGGAATTAATCACTACTTGACCGGACTATGCGAGGTGTGCATAAAGGATTTCCGTCACTAGCCGTTTCCAGTAATAAAAAAAGCAAATTGTTCATCGAGTAAGTAATACGTCAGTCGGCTTACAACTCACTTGGCTTGAAGGCTCTGGGACAGAGCCTGTACGAGCGCTGTGTCCACGCCGCCGTACGATTCTTTGGATGTACTTAGCGGGAAATAAAATGGATTGTTACGCGCCATCACTACCGAATACGATTGGTAGAAGGTTCTCATTTGCAGGCTTATGTCGTGACTGTGACGTTGATCAATCCATGCGACATTTACTGGAACTACTGTTATTTCAGAGCTCATTGTCGGCCGGTTCGATTGCCGAACAGCGACTGTTCAGTGATAATTTCTCATCAATCTTCATCTCGATGGAACTGTATATTAGTAAAGAGAAGAAATCGCTGAAGACTGTATAGTCTTCTTCAAAAATCGACAATTCGAAAAATCGTTTAGATACGATGAGAAAACAGTTAAACACGCAAATATTGATGATTATAGTTAACATCGTTCTTTGCGACGCCTATACATGTATGTAGTGCCTAACAGCTGAATATCTACTTGGTCTATTTAAAATTATATATATTATAATAATAATAATAATAATAAGAAAAATTAGTTTGGATATTACTGTTATGAGAATTCGCCGTATAACAACTAAGCAACTGTATTATTGAAAATAGCAATGTTATGCTCTGAATAAGTGTTATTTTTGAAATTTTTCCTGCACTATTCAGAGACTCTGTTCTGTTCCATAGTCTGAACAAGGATCTCACATGCCACTATACTGTTTAGTGATGCTTTTGCTGGTTCCTCCAAATATCCAAATTGCAGAAATGAAGTGTGAGCAAGTCTCTTTTTTTACACACCCTCTGAAGTCGAATAATCCGTAGTAACTTGAGCTCAATGATGTCGCAAACCAATTAGCTAATCACTGAGTACGGTGCTAAAGCCAGACTGAACTTTTGATCCGAGTATAGAACTGTTAGAGAAAATATGTCCGCGGCGGAAAACAGTTCAAAGCGCCACCTGTTTGCGCTCCAACGTTCGTACGCCTTGTGATTCACTCATTCTGATAAGGCTCGGGAATGGTACGACAAATTCAGCCGGTCCTTTCCTGCCGCTCAAATGCCCTTACGTGCTAATAAGAGTAACAGGGGAATTCTAGTTAAAATCATAGCCTGTGCTTAGGGCACAACGTGCATGCACGGACGCTTCGAGATGCATAAACGCTCGAGAGTGACCTACATATATAGACGATCTTTACTGACACATATTACGCACATATACGTTTTAGCTGAGTCGAACCAGAGTGAGTTCCCTGGACCTTAGGGTTTCGAGTTTTACGTCCCTTTTCACTGCCATTAAGGCTAACCCAAAGCACAGCACGAAACGCGTCTTCTTCCGTCTAACTTCGACCAGCTGGACTTTCTAGAATGAGTTCCGGGTAGTTTCCTTTTAAACCGGCCCAAGCTTCTGCGTAGCACGTAATTCTTTGTTGAAAAATAAGTGAGTCGCTTGTTCCAGATAGGTGACTATTTATTTATTCATCCCAATTCAACATGTCAACAGATCTTTCTTCAGCCCTCAGAATTTTTCTAATTAAAATTCATGATATGAATTCATGGCCGGGACCACTTTCCGCTGAGTCCACAATTATTTTTCCGTTTTTTTACCGAATCAAAACGCTTCGCCTTCTAATTTCTTTTTAGTTTTAGGAATAAAAAAAACGCGGCAGGCGCTGAATCCGGTAGAAACAAGGGCTGGGGCGCGAATTTCTTGCAGAACTGCTGTACAGGTAGTGAAATCTAAGCCGGTGCATTGAGTCGTGATGAAGAGCCTAGGAGTTGTTCGGCTATGATTTTAGTTTCTTGCGTCCCACACATGTTCTTAAAGCTTTTCGATTCTACTTCTTAATGACGGTGTGAAGAACATTATTATTTTGGTTCTGGTCCGCGAGGGTTATCACACACGTTCCAGAACGAAAACCGTAACACAAGACTTAATGCACGGTCGCTGCTTCATCTAAGACAAATTGTAGAACGCTCAATATATAGACTTATTTAATTTCATCGGAAAAGTCGAAATTTCGTTAGATTGTTATGAAATTATCACCGTGTGCAACAGAAGCCGTGCCCTTTTTTGAAACTCAAATGCGACCACAAGCGATTATTCATTTATTTTTGCAAAAGTCTTTATACATATACCTTTTCGGGGCTTTTGGTTTATTGTGAGCCCAAATTTTAATTCTGTTCGAATTTTTTTCAATGTGGCATATATAAGTTACATTTTAACGCGTTGACGCCTACCAATATTCATTGATGGACGGTTACTATTAGAAAGTGACCTCTAGATCGAAAGATGTATCTTTTGAAAATGGATAATTAGTGGCTTAGGTGCCGAATTGAAGGCACTTCTATTAGATGCAAACAATTTCCTTGAAATAGCTATGCCGTTTGGATACAGTCTTCGAAAAAGAGCTCTTAACCGTTCTGTATATACATGTGTATGTAAGCAGGGTGGCGTGCGTGGACGTTTCGCAAACTAACCAAAAAGAAAATGTGTGCAAGTTTAACACCGACTCATGCGTCAGATAGTAGTCCATACAACAAACGCTTAGTCGAGAACTAGGTGCACTCTGAGCATCGCAGCTAGATATCAATTGGTAGTTTAATAGTAACGATAATAATATGGGTGCGTAAAAAATTGACCACGGCCATTGGTTTTCCATCATCTTATAAGCACGACAGCGGGGCCAGCCCAATGAGTATCCTCCATATTAATATTCAAGTGACTTATCTATTCATTGATTTCACTGAGTTGGGTCGTAAGCTATTCCTAAACTGCGAGCCGTAATTGTGGTCCGCATACGTATTCACCATCATCTGGGCATCAGACCGTTCATTACGGATTGCCCATCGACTTACACCCCGCTACGCGCTACAGTCCTATGTTACAAACTTAAACTAAATGCACGTTTCGAGTTTGTTGTGTCACGATTTTTCCGAGTTGCGTGACTCGCGCCATTGAACTTGGCCATTCAGTTGATCGTAATCCGACTAGGTAGTGACGTCTCTTCATCTTGACGTCGAGTAGGAAACCAACATTAAACACGACGGCGGAGCAGTCGCATTGCATTTGTCTATTTGGCGTTACGATCAGATCAGTTTCTGAGCATAAGACAGGAGCAGACAGAGGCAAGTGGAAAAGCAACTTGTTTGAGATAAACTTAACTACCAGTTCTTGGTGCTATACCATTTCTGCAAGGCCTTCCAGAGCATATTGTGTGTATTCGCGATGCTTCACAAGAGAGCTAAATACCGCTTCTCGTATAGTCGAGACGTCCTGCTCCACTTTTGCATATGGTACTATAATATCTCAGCCGGCTATGCATAATAATATAGCTATTAGGTAAATTGAACACTTCGATATATTCATTAATTTTTTTTTACGATTGATGTTTCTAGTTTATCCGCGATCAGGAAAAATCACACATGGAATAGTAATACAGAAACAGCTGGCTATAAAAAAAGGAATAGAACGTCGTTAAACCCATCATCGTCCCGTCACGGAACACATTTAGAAATACGACATCTTTCACGAATACGTCACAGTCTTTGTTAGGGCGCAAATTTCCTTTTGAGCCACGTTGCACTAACAGGAAATTCGTTATTTATATTTGTATACGGTAGAAAGAATTACGGTTAGTTACGAGCGCTCTTAATCGCTTGGCAAAAAAACTCAAAGAAAATCTGTAATAGCTTTGGTGCTACCTAAGCTGAATGGCGCAGGAATTGAGAAAAAAAAAAAACGGATACGTGAAAATATGTATAACTATGGCGGGTGTTATACTCTCGTGACAGTCATAATTCCGTTCAGACATATAGTCTAATATTGATATATATGCGCACGGTTTTTCGTTGCATCGATTGATACAAATAGAGATGTAAGCGTAAGTGAAACTCGTGTCCTCGATCTGATCCCATAGAAACGAGCGCCACAAAGTAGATGTGGTTTTACTAGTTCCGCTCTATATTCATGGATCAAGTCGACGTATGAGCATATACGCGCTTGCACATATAGGCTGGACTTAGTCCACAAAAGCCATGTTCATTTTTCTGGAAAAGGCACCCTAAACAGCAACGATTGATGACCCATTACAAATCCGATAGTGAATTATGTAGTAACAACCAATTTTGTTATTGTCATCCGCGTTATCAATACTACTATGATTATCTTCAAAGTGCATTTGCGTAACCATATTTACATCCAGTCCGCTTCGTTGTTAGGCTGCGAACCGTTACCAAGTTATCACGGCGTACCGAAAACGTACGCAAAAACAGGGCTAACTTGAGCAAGACTAGCGATATGCATATTTGTAGTGACGCGGCAATATCAATGGCACAAAGACAATTCATCTTCGTGCCACGCTTGTTAAACAGATGCACAACATACAGCGCAAATTGGCCGTCACTTAGAAATCATACAAAGGTTTATCTAGTACAGAGGTTCGCGGACGGCACTCTCGGCTTACGGCTGATGGACCTAGGCGATGCAAATTACCAACAGAAATTATGACGATGAAGCTCTGTTGTTGTTCATATGTGTAACTTGTCTTGTTTCTAATAGCAGATGGTCTGGCCGGGACCTTCTGGTCGAAAGAGCATAGGAAGCTCCGTTAACGTTGATTCGGGTTTGAAACCCACAAAATGGCATCGTAACCATGTGCCATCATGACCCGTATCATATTTGAATTGATGAACGCTACAGTTACTTACATTCATTAGTTTAACTCCACTTAAACCACCCGTTCTGTCGTAGACCTAGCTTGAACTGCATATCTTGAAAAAACTGGAATTTCGTACGAACATGACAAAGGCGACAAAAAATTATCAGATAATAGAATTCCCGCCGAAGTTGTTGAATCTAGCGGTCGAGTATCGGCGACAGTGGCCGGATATTGCATTTCTAAAGCCTAGAAAATCACCCAGCCGCATTATGACTGCACCCTGTATTCAGACAGATACGCAAGCGAGATAATCAATATTGGAGGGAGCAGAAGAACACTACTGCCATAGAAAACGTTCTGCTTGAAGAGAAAGCATATAATTGATAATATTACCGAGCGTGTCATGTTTTTTAGTTGTTTAACAATACAAAGAAGTGTTCACAATATTTTTGTTTATGCTGAAAAAACAGTCGTCCATTAGTTTTATCACTTATTATATATCGGTAGATACCTCACGGCTTCCGAGCTGAATCTTATTTTAGCCAAGTTAAAATGTAGCTCGTCAGTATTATATGAGAGAAGATAGAAAGATATCCTAGCTTCGACATATGCAACAGCAATTGTAACAGTTGGGAAAAATTCAAGAATACGTTCTCCTCTATGTTTTGTCAATTTTTCTTT